ATAACAGACCAGACTACCTGTCTTCTGGGAGGTTACTAATCTACCTGTTTCTATAATACAAAAAAGTACACAAATAAAGTTGAACTGTCTGAAATCAATATATTAAGTTGACAGCAGCAACTCCATTCTGGTGCAGGTAATATATTAATATGCATATACAGGGTGTTTAAAAACTCAGTATCAAGATTTCCGGTGCTTATTTTTTAGAACATGTGTCCGCTAACGCTTCGTTACCGATCTACAAAGCGCTAAAATTTCAGGGTTTTTATCTTTTTTCTTTATAGCTCTTTCAGTATTCAAAATATTCAGATTGACTTTGAAATGTAGGTAACGTTTTTGGGTCTACATTATACAGTATATCGAGTGATTGTGAAAAATCTACAGGGAGATATTTTTTCAGGGGTGAAGCCCTTTTTCCCTTCATAAACTCTCGGGTGGTGCGCCACTGATAGATAAATAGATGAAATACGAAATGAGCTCTTTGTTTCGTTTGTGAACTTTTTGTCTCTTGTAATTTTAACGCATCTGCGATCGTTATCGAGAAAAAAATAGTTATTTATTATACAAGGGGAAAAGGTAATAGATTTCAGATCGAAGCTGTGTTGTCTCCCGACGCAATATTTTTCCCGTGTATAATACTATATATATATATATATATATAATATTTTTTCTCTGTGACAGGAAGAAAGACGAATCAATATTGAGAATATATCACATTATAGTAAAATCAGAAAATTATCGACGTGAAATTTGAAGTTTTTAACAGGGATTACACCTGCGTTGCAGGTTGCAGGCATCTTTTTGCAGGCATATTTTTATCATTCTTCTGAAGTAATCAAATATCTGTCAGTCTGATTCTGTGATTTGCATTTCAAGAATTACGAACTTAATGGTTCTCAATTTATATAGTATACTTTTTTTACCAACTTTACGTATAACCGCGAAGTGGAATGGAAGATTGAAACTTCTTTCTCGGAGACGGTGTTATTGGGTTATTTTTCGGAACTAGCACGACAAAAACCATCTACACTGTGAAAATATTATCAATATTCCGAAGAAAAGTGCACACTTCTTTTTCCAACTCACTTTTTTTCGTGGAATACGGAGAAAAAGTAATCCATGAAAAGTCGCATTTGATAACCTGTCACAGATTTTTTTTTTGTAAATCGCTACATTTAATCAATGTGTTCAACAAAAGGGCCGCGGAACCTATATTATCACAATAAGAACAAGAAATGCTACGTATTTAGTGTGTGCGATGATCTTGTTACAGGTTTCTAAACATTACCTGAAGAATAAGAAACCTAACAAACCTGGACTTTTCATAGAAGATATTGGAAAATAAAAAAAATCTGCAAACTTCAACGCCGGTAACGAAGTATTTTCTCACACATACTTATAGGAAAAAAAGTCTCATATTGACCTAGAAAATGAGTCCCTGCAATCTGATACTGAGTTTTGAAACACCCTGTATATCTTATTAGACCTGACGGAGAACAATCATCATATAGTGTCTGATAATAACAGAGCAGATCATTTCACCTGACTACCTGACAATAACTCGCTGACTGGGGCAAATGGTAGAATTATATATCCATAAACACAATCGTATTGAAGATCCCAAACCAGGCAGATACCGTGTGTCTCATTATATGTCAAAATAAAACACGAATAAGGAGCATCGTATATATTCAGAATAGGATTGAGACATTTCGCAATAAAAAAAATTGTCGTTCTCAGGAATATAAAAGAACAGTATTTCTTGTTATGTAGATAGAGATGTAAAAAACATGGATTTATGTGAAGATGACAAAAGTAAAAACTGAATTAGTTGGTTGTTGGTGCCTACATACTAAGTATTTATCACGAGATTTTCATTAATTCTATTCATTTAGAATGAATGAACAAGCGTAAGATCTTTCACGGAGTGCAAATTTTGATTCGTTTGTGCACAAATTACAAATTGTATAAATACATTCTATAAAAAAATCAGTAGTTCTCGAAAAGACTTTTTCGCAATCACCTTTCAATTGATTAAAAAGGGAGGAAACTACTCTCTCCTCTATAATTCTTCTAAATAGAACGTGTTTTTCACTTCGAAATTTTGAGTCTTCTTTCCAATTTTCTGGACCTCATATTCGACCGCGATAGAAATTGGAAATTTCCAAATTGTTATTCGTTCGAAAAATAGAGATAAATTTTTAAATCCAACATATCTTCTACAATCTATATATCTACAATCTTTAAAATTTGCTTTTGTTACATTTTATTCATTCATGAACATGACATTCTTTGTCGATAAAATGTATTAGTCACATCTTACATAGCTCTATCTTTATATCTTTTGAGTCCCATATTTTACGTACAGGGTGATTCACCATAAATGTCCCCCCCTCTAGCTCAGTTATTTTTGAACCGATTTCAAAATTCGAAGTATTATCTTGAATGATTTTTGATAAAGTTTTTTTCCGCTACATCAGAAAATACAGGGTGCTCCTAACAAACGATCTACAGGGTACTATTTGATTTTTTTAAATGGAACACCCTGTATTTCATTGTATTTTTAGATTCTCCTTGAAGAGCTGATTTCATCAATACATCACACTTGGGGTCTAGCGGGAATGATTTCAGAGATATAGGGTTTTCAAAATCGAGATTTTTGAACTTTAGGATTTTTTGTGTCGAAACTATTCATTATTGGTTAAAACGGCTCCTATGTCCCTATCTCAACTTTTGATTTACTATCCACTGACATTTAATAATTGGAACAGATACAGGGTTATCAGAATTCTGAAACTTGAACCACAATTAATTGTTTGAACACACTACATATATATATGATGTATATACAAATTACAAACACATCAAATCATACTAACAAATGAAAGCTCAATGGAACCAAGCAGTCTGCTGCCGTGCTACTGAGTGATATTTTTGTTTTTCAATCCACTATAGGCAGTATGGCACTATCTTAGTATATAATCCGTCGGGCAACTCAAAATTTTAAATTAAGGTTTGTGTATATTGTGTATATTTAGAACCGAAGATAGATCGAACCTGCGCACATACGTCCTCAACCATCCTTGTCCGACGCAAGTATACCGCGAAAGTGAATCTTTTTCTACAGTCCGCACTCTGCAGTAGGTATAAAATCATTGATCGGGCGCCCCTTTCAAATGGGAATAGGAAAGAACAAAGAAAATCAACAAACACAAGTTATTTTCCGATATCCAAGTGCAGAGCGTCAGCATTATGAGGTATTATGCCGCATTGCTTACATCTGCCTGTGGATATGCTGCAATATCACAATAATATATTCAGGGTCAGTAGGAATATAGATTTATAGTATGTCAAAATCAGCTGTTTCAGGTCCCAGATAAAAAAGTTTGAAATCCATCGAGCTAATTCTGTCCTAATGTGTACCTATGTAATATTTACTATTTTGTATCAAAACTTACCTTAATTTTGATGTTTTGATGGAATAAACAGCTAATGGGGTTTGAAAACACGGATTTTAAACAGTACTTGACAAACGCAGCAGCATTCAGCCCAGGGCAGGCGCTGAATAAGCTCTGTTTTGGTTCGGTTGAAAGGACAAACCAGCTGTGTTGCTAACGGTGGGCGCAGAGTTGGCTCTAGCCTTTATTACGGGCATGAGAATATCTAGATCCTAGTCTATGGAATCGAAATTATTCCTATGAATATATATTTTGTAAAGGTAGTTGAAATAATAATAATAATAAGATTTAACATATCACAGTATAGTGAACGATATTAAGAGGCCAACAATACTTATTGAAAGAGAATATATATATCCATCACTGTCATGATCCTGATGATGTGGGATCCTAAGAACTAAAATAATGAATTATGAATACTTAGTTTAGATAAGCAGTAAACACTGTGTGTATTATTGAAATTATATTCCCAAACTGTAGAAATATACATAATTAGAGAATTAACAAGAAAACAAAAAAAAACAGAAATTGATCAATCTGTTATTGAATTTGAAAAAGTCATTATTTCGTCCAAGTATATAAATTGTTCATAATATATCTATATATTTTGAAATCGATAATTAATTTGTCATCCAGTAGCAGAGTTTGAATTTTCTAGGTGTATATATACTGTTATTCATAATCTCACATTAAGCAACATAAGAAAATTGCTTTTTAAATGGCGATGGTGATATATATTGGCTTTATGGCGGATATGTTTTGATGCTATGTACGTCTGCTCTAAGCTTCAGTTTTCGATACAGATATTCAGGTGTTTTTAGTTTGATTACATTATTATTGAATAAACAACTACCATGAAAAAATCTGCGCTTTCTAATACTCAGCCACTTCGCTTCACTGAGTTTGTGTGATATATATGTGACCGCGTCGTCTTTATTCATATTGAAAACAAATCTGAAGCAAAAGTTCTGGGTTTTTTTCATTGAGTATATACCACTACTAGTGATTTACATAAAATGGCTTTGAAGCCATGGCGTCAAAGTCAACTTGTGTCAAACTGCCCCTGAAAAACCACCCACACAACTTCGTTTTTTCAAGTTACACCCTATCTATACATTTTTTTGTCGATTAGTGCAGTCATGTCGTTCTAAATGAAAACCTAGTAGGTGACCTAGTGCGAGGAGGTATTATAGCTTACTAACTAACGTACCTAACTGGGTTGTCATCTATAGAACGACAATGGTGAAGTGCAATATAAATTCTAACTTCAACGACCCTTACACCCATCATACTTCCAAAATTAAAATATGCTAGGGAAACCATATCTGGTGTAATGGTCTGTTCATAGAATCTCATTTTCATTTAATTCATATTTAATTTAATAGCTCTATTTCCCAGAAGGAATGAACTAAATTAAATATAAGATAAATGACGTTCTATGAACGCATCTCAGTGAATAGAATGCTTGAACTCCGGCTCTGGATGTAGTTGGACTGGGTAGTAATTTGACCTATCTTTGTCCTCCTCGATGTGTTCCATTGTTAATGTGATGCAGTTTCTCACTTCCTCCATGCACTTGCGCTTGTAATTCTTATCTAATAACCTCCTAACCACGTTCACTGTCACTGCCTAGTGCAATGCTTGTGCGTATGTTCTATCGTTATTATTGTTACTTGTTTATGAAGTAATATGGAAAATGTGCCTGAATGTGGTAAACACGAATATCCTACTTATTTTTCATGTTGCTTGATTAGGTATCGTACCTAATTATCCCTATATATACACCTATACCTATAGTAGCCTTTTAAAATATTCAATTTAATTCAGAAGCATATTGGAAGTAAACGTATTTCTCTTTACTTTTAGATACCGATAAATATTCTGCCTTACATTGATTACAGATCATTGAGCCCAAAATATGGTTATGGCTAGATTTCAACTATGGAAGTGTGTTATAAAGGATCAGCTGAGGAACTGTCACTCAAAACATAAATTTGTAAGGCAAATAATGGGGTATAGCGCTGCAGTAAGTGCGAGTGCGATGAGTGTCACATTGATAGCTACTTCTCCTCTGATAAAAGTGGAAGGATCAAAAAACATTGTTGCCAATGTTAATGGAGGAATAAGATTTTTGCGGTAAGCATTGGAAACCTCTATCTAGGGATACCTACCTATACTCCAATTCATACTCATATATATATAGACAAGAAGTGGCAAGATCTCACAGTTGGTGAAAGACAATATGCCTTTTCATTTAGATGACAAATGACTATGAGTCAACCATTGTTCAGTTCACAACTAGAAACGACATTCAGGCGCTGGAATATATTTTTTTTTTTTTGTATAAAATCAAATTAATATTCTTAAAAAGTCCATCAAACTTGCATTCTTCAAGTTTTATCCACAGACATGAATTATTGCTAGCCCGCTACATGTCATGAGGCCAAAGCTCATTCATTTACAAGATCGAACTTGGTTCCATGGACCATGGAGCGTGCGCATTCAGAACCTGTCATATACCGGGTGAGTGATTAAATTCGAGTAGATGCATAATAATATGGGGATCTCGGAAACGGTATGAGCTACAGAGCTACAGAGAGGGTTAAATAATGGATGCAAAGTTGCGCAATTTCATGACTAACAAAATGGCGTGCATTGAGCAAAAGGGTTTTAAAATGAATTAATCATTCAATCAATTTAAACCAGCCATAATTCACACAAAATGACAAAACAGACATAGCACAATTAACAAAATGTCACAATATTATCAATTTTGAAATGAACCAATCAAATATTGTAGCACGAAATAATAATATCTAATCAGACTTTGATCTGAATAAGAGATGAGCCCTACAAAATCATTTGAATGAGAACTATTAATTGTTCAGAGGCAAAAGTGCATATATGGCATTCGAGGAAGTTGAAATAAATATTCCGGAACAAACTGATAACTCCTTTTTTACTACCTATACTGAAATGACGAGTGAGCATGTTTTGTTAGAGAAAAAACAATTGACATTTACTCCAACAGCCAAGTATGAGGCTACCGGCAAAATATAAAATACGACCAGAGCTAGCTCAATGTAAGGTAACTCAAATCAAGTCTTATCGGGGACTTCTATGAGAAATTGAGTAAGATACCATAAAAGAGCTGGGCCATCTAGAAATACTATGATACCTCAGCCTGGGGTTAGAGCACATACAGGTTAGGAGGGAAAAAATCCAAGCTATGTAATAGCTGCTTACCATAAAGTTATATACAACAATGGCAACAAATAAAATTTTGCAGTTCGATTTTCCATAGACACTTTCACATTTACCTGCTCAAATGTATTTCCTATGTTTTCCTTAAGACCCCATGTAATTCCAACCTGACATAGGTAGATAATGAGATGTTGTATTGTAGGTCTTTGAAAATCGGCATGACGATATCCTTGGATTATTATTTTTCAATGATGGGCCTTAGTGAATCTTCACCGAACTTCAGAGCTATGATGAGCAGGATACACCAAAGAGCTGCTGATAACATCCTTCAAGGATGTTTACTAAATGGAGGGTCGTACATAAAACTGGGCCAAGGTCTTGTAGCAATGAGTCACATCATTCCAAAGGAGTATGTGGACACCTTGAAGCAGTTACAAGATAAATGTCTTGTGAGAGAATTCGGCGAGTTAACGGAACTGTTCAAACAGGATTTCGGAAAAGAACCCACAGATATTTTCAAAACGTTTGAATGCGAACCTATCGCAGCGGCAAGTATCGCTCAGGTAACAATTTGATAACACATCAAAAATGTATAATATTAAAAATGCAAACACTAAATCTAATATATTACCACCCTTTCTGCCAAAATAATGAAACATTATTTAAGGTTTATAAAGCTACAACCAAAGATGATAAAACAGTGGCTGTGAAAGTGCAATATATAGATCTTCAAGAGCGTTTCAGCACTGATATTGTGACTGTTAAAGGGCTTTTGAAAGTAATTGGTATTATGCATCCAAATTTCAACTTTGCTTGGGTTGTAAGTGACTTGGAAAGCACTTTGAAGCAAGAGCTCGATTTTGTCAATGAAGGTCTGAATAGCGAACGATGTGCCAAAGATTTGGGCAGCTTCAAATACATCCACATCCCAAAGGTTTATTGGGACTACAGCAGTTCGGTAGTATCTTAAATGGTATTTGAATGAATAAATTTGAATAATGTGAATGCAACGTTGTGTTGCAGAGGGTACTCGTCACCGAATTCATTGATGGATACAAAATTAGCGAAGTGGAGAATTTGAAGAAAGACGGGTTTTCACTGGTGGATATCAACCAGAAATTATTTGAAGCTTTTGGTTACCAAATTTTCCACACTGGGTTTGTTCATGCTGATCCGCATACAGGAAATGGTGAGGTATATTTGTCTTATTAATTCTCAAAATTGCTACTTACTGTGACATCCATTTCTATTTTGCATGATACGAATCCTTCCGTGCTGAATCCAACTCACACTTACATGTTCAAATAATGTTCTATTTCTATAACATACATACATAACATACCTCGATATTCCTATATTGTTGTTAGTTGATTCGGCTTATTTATTGTTGATTCTTGTTTCTGTTACATCAGATCGATTGACATCTTATCGAATATTGAGTCTACCGAATCTACACAAGGTCAGTGATATTTGTGTTTATATCTCCCTGCATCTATAATATGATCTTGAATGCTAAAAATTCGAACTAAGATTTTTTTTTCGGAATGACATGAAAGTGGCTTTTTATTGACACTTACAACGGTCATACTGCCACTACCGCAAACAGGTACTGCCAAGGCAGAAAAAGTTTGTTGCTATGCAACGTTCCAGGTAATGATTTGAAACAATGTGGTAATCAAAATTGACAATGACTTTGGGTGACCACAAAATGATGGATTATTTGGAGTTTGCGTGAAATTGGAACGAATTTGGAGAATAACTATGTCACATAGCAGAAAAGATTCAATGCCTTGATGGCCAGTTTCCTAGCCTCGGCTATGAAACCCCATGCAGCAGCATTAAATATGCCAAGTAAAACAAATAACTATTTTGTGCCGAATCAATAAGTGAAATTGTAAGAAGATATGTGTAGCCATGTATATTACCTACAAATTGTTATCAACCATGAGATATCATTTCATTTCATGAGTTAAAACAGAATACCTACCAACTGTTGGACTGACTTAGTTAGAAGTAAACCGTGATATATTCTTTTATTCGTTGACCGATTTGAAATGTAGTAGTAATCAAATGCAATTTTAATTTCTGAGTATTTTATTATATAATTGCACTAATTCACAGCTAACAATGGTCGATTGAGAATCGTTATTCAATATCACAATTTTTTTCATCAAATACTTAGTTGGTCGTGTAATAGTGCATTGAGAGAATGTTGGGAAGAAACCTTAAATTTCGAATTGTATTTTAGTACCTTTCAAAATTCAGAAGTTTCACTTTTAAATAAAGTGTATCGGTGTCCGCCTATATGTTATGATGAGCTGAAACTGAAGACATGTTCATATATCAAGGTGGATTATATATTTCAGTACTGGTTAGAAAGGTTGGAGGAAAATCAGAGTTGGTTTTGTTGGACCATGGATTATACCAACAAGTTTCTGAAAAAGACCGGATCGCTCTTAGTTACATGTGGAAAGCTATCGTTCTAAACGACCATGCCAATATGAAGAAGTATTCCAATGATTTGGGGGTTGAAGGTGAAAATTTATCAATTGAAACATCATATAGTAAAATGTCTGTCCACAATATAATGATTCCACAATGCTTCTGTTTCCCACTGATGAAAGCGAAATCATTTCTATAATCCATGATTTAAAAAAGACATGCCCTGATCCAGAAGGTTTGATTACTAAAGACATATTTGAATTGAGACACATTTTAGCTACACCAATATCAAAATTAATCAATGAATCTTTCATAAAAGAAACTTTTCCACACGAATTGAAACATGCATCAGTAAGAGCTATTTACAAAAATGGAAATGCTCAGGATCCAACTAACTATAGACCAATAGCTTTAATAAGCATATTTTCTAAAATTTTTGAAAAAATTCTCAAGAAACGCATTGTAGAATTCATCAACAAAAAATATAGCTTCGATTCTAATCAATTTGGTTTTCAAGAAAACAGTGGAACACAAGCAGCAGTATTACAAGTGATAGAATCAATCCAGAGAGGACTTGATTCAGGAAATTATGTGGTAGCTGTTTTCATTGATCTCAAAAAGGCTTTTGACACAGTTGATCATACAACACTTTTAGAAAACTTAGAAACAATGGGACTCAGAGGCACTGTGAGAAAAATTTTGAATTCATATCTTGAAAATAGGACAATCAATACAAAATCAACCAACTCTGTTTCAAATAAACTCTTAATCAATAAGGGTGTCCCACAGGGCTCTGTTTTAGGACCTATATTATATTTACTTTATGTTCAAAATATCAGTGAAATTGGTCTCACGAGTAAATATACCATGTATGCAGATGATACAGTACTTTTATATGAAAGCAAGAATCCTTCAAATTTAGAAAATATGATAAATGAAGACTTGAAAATATTTGAAAAATGGCTCCACTCTAACCTTTTATCGATAAATACTAAAAAAACAGAATATTTGATTTTTCACCAAAAAAATAAACAAAAAATTTTCCTCAACCTTAAAATGAAAAATGAACTCTTAAAACAAACTGACCAGATAAAATATCTTGGAATTTGGTTTGATGACAGGTTGAAGTGGGACAAACATATTGATGTTCTGACAAAAAAAATATCTCCAATTATTGGTGCATTGAGAAGATGTCCCAAACTTGATATTAAAATTGCAAACATGATTCTCTACTCTCATATACTGAGTCGTATCAACTATTTAATAAATGTTTGGGGAACTTGTTCAAAGAACAATTTCAATAAAATATCAACATTATATAGAAAATCGTTAAAAGTATTGTATCGTCTCCCATTTGATACACCAACCAATCAATTGTTTGAAATAACAAATACGTATTCTTTAGATGAAATATATAGAATTGAAACTCTCAAAATATCATATAATATCATAAATAAAAAATTGAAGTCGAATTTTATGTTGATACGGAATTCTGAAATTCATAATCATGAAACAAGACAATATAACTTGTTTCATCTTGACGCCGCTAGCTCCATTATCGGACAAAAAAGATTCACTCATTCAGCCTTAACTGAATTCAATAAACTACCTGACAATATAAAAAATTGCAGAAACACAGGTTCATTCAAAAATGAAGTGAAAAAATTGATTATTTCTGAGCGAACTGGATAAAATTGAACATGCCATTTTTTTTTTTTTTTACAAATATTATTCTTTGTTTGTCAATTTACAGTTGTTGATATATTTTGTATAATGATATGTTTACCTATAGGTATATAATTATGTACTTCCTTATACCAGAGCCTATTCTGTCTGGAAGTTATTTGTTCAATAAATAAATAAAATAAATAAATAATTTGGGGATATATTGTTTGTTATACCAGCTGACTGATAAAAAACGCCCCAAGCTTAGGACCGCTAACAACTATCCGATTTAGAAGAACAAATCAAATGAATCATCTGATACTATAACGTCAGCGACTGTCAATTTTTTATTTTACATGGCACCATGTGCTTTTTATTTATTTATCCTGAATACAATGAAACACTAAATGCTCAGTAGCTCAGTTCACAGAAATAAATAATTTTGATACATTTGAGATGTATAATATGTGACAGTGAATGTCACGGAAATGAACGTCAATATTTTAATTTATTAGATATTTGGACCACGCATGTGATTTGAGTGTGTTGTGAAAAAATTGAAATTATGATTAAACAAAGAACTCGCACCTACTGATTGCTCCGTGACTTCAATTCAAGATGAAAATTCATATTTCATTCCATGTATAAGGAAATGATAGGTAAAAATTACAAAATGTTCATGTCATGAAGAAATATATCTGTGAATTGTGTGTTTAACATAATGATGGCCAATTTGAATATTTCAATTTTCTCACAACTCCCTTTAAAATTCAAATTTAAATACTTATTCGACAGATGAAACACTGTCGTTCATTCCAGTGACATTTACTGCCACATTTAATGGTAAAACTCAAAATGTTATGAAAATATCTATTTCTTGTCAACTGAACATCCATTTTCTATTTCAACTATATTTTTTACAAGAGTCAACCTGTCATACATCATCATGTTCTGAATAAAAATCTCGAACAGAAAAAAAAATTGAAACATGTTGCCATTTTACAGTCGCTGTCATTACAGTTGAAATTTGAAACAATAATGATCAGAGCCTACTCTTATATAGTCATCTGATGATTGATATCATTTGCTTTTTCGTTTTTGAAAATGGAATAATCAATAGGCGATATGGTTTGCCCCGTTCTTCGTCAGTCTGTAATGATGACCTTTGATTTCAGATTATGTATTATTTGCTGAAATATTAACACAAGCTCCTCTGCATACGAGAGGTTTCAAATTGAATCCTAAACTCACTGATGCGGATTTGAGATATATGACTGAGGCAGCAAGAGACAAGTTTGACAGAATTATGGTATGCCTACAAAATATGCCAAGGTCACTCCTCCTAGTTATTAGGTTGGTTAAAAATCGGGAGGGTGGAAACGTACAGTGAATAATAGTTTAAAATCACTTTTATGTTACAGAAATCTTAATACTATTAGGGCAATTTCACATGACCACGGAAATCCGATAGATAGATACGATGTGTTGGCGAGAATAGCTACAAGAAATGTTTATAGCCGACAAAATAATGTATCTAAAATACTTTTGAACTATCCGAGGCACTTGTATTTCGAGATTATGCTTAGGTAAGATTTGCGTAAATTATTTTTGTGCAGATATTCACAGCAAATTTCACAATTAAGATCACCTATGAAGTCAGTTGAATTTCGTAACATTTTGTTGAAGATAATTGAACTATCCAACCAGGCTATGAAAAATCTTGATTATATTTTTGTTTACAGATTTCAGAGAATTGGGAGGTGGTTCAGAAAAAGAACATACGAAATTCTACGCCACTTTGGTATGGTACCAGATATCGAAAAAATTATGATCAAAGCCAACTTGAATGTTTAATCAGGTACTAACAGTGATTTTCCATTTGTTACCTATTTTTTTAATTACCTATTGTTTTTGTTGGGAAATATGAATTTTACCAAACTAACTTAATTGTGTCATTTTTTATTATCACTCCAATGAAGATTTATATATTTTCAAAAATCAGAAACATCTATTCTCTCCTAATACAGGTCGATTCATTAAGAATGGGAAATCTCTGAACTACAGATAGTAAACGTTAAAATATGAAGATTTAATCCAACATGGCTTTACATAAATGTTGCAGTGTTTGAGGAAAATTATATTTCAAATTTTTCCTCAACTTTCGTGGAGCATTTACTTTGAAATTCTGTTTGTTGTTGGCATTGTTAGCGATTGTTACCATTGATTTCTGTATTTTTTCCACTATCACTTTGATAAATTTATAATTCAGTTGCTAAAATGTTATAAGTCTAACATAAATCTCTTCAATAGCGAATAACGCAAAAACCGTTAGCTAGACAATTTGAAAAAAAAGGAAACTTTATGTAAAATTGAACGGGCTTTCTGATTGTTCACTTATTTCGATCATCATTCAATGGACAGAGAATTTATCGAAGTAACAGTGTTATTAGCCCCCTCTATGAGCAAAATCACAAAATAAGTTGCTAATTACTAATTCTCATGTCAGAAAACCTGACACTACAAAATTTCATGTTCATGCTGTCAAAACTTATGAAGTTATTGAGGAATTTCAAAATAAAATATCCCCCAAGAACACCCTGTATCTCCCGAACCAACAATATTCTTATCAGGCATGTTGGCCTGAATCTCAATCTGTAGTTCACAGAATTTTCTTTCTTAATGAATCACCCCGTGTATGCACCAACTACAGATCATATTTTTTCAAGTTGTGTATTACGCGAGTGAATGATCATTATGAGGAAAACACTTTCCTATTATTGACAAATTTCAGTTTTGGTATGTTCATATTTTTATATTGGACAATTTCATACCAGGACCAGTAGTTTGAGCTTCACTTTAGTGAAAAGATAAGTAGATCTCCCTATAGCATTTAACAAAAGAGCGCATTTTCTAAATAGTACTAACAAAAATTATTGAAGACTCATGAAGTATGGGAGCTTATCAAATGAGGAGTGGGGAAAACGAAGGATAATATTCTGCTGTAAGAAATGTTTGTTTATTCAATTTGGTTATTCCGAATTTGATAAATTCGATCTCTAAAAAATTGATTAGTGATACAATGATCACGACAATTCACTTTGACATTTTTGCCACTAAATTCGAACATTCCAAATAGAAAGAAGAATATTTGAAAGGGATCACTTGGGAGCACTGAAACCTGCATTTTGATCTGATTAGATTCCCTAACACGTGAAAATAGAAGAATTACTGATGTTTGTTAATTTTATTTAACAAATTCGGCTAGTTTTATAGTACAAATCATAACAACATTCAACACAGATTGGAGTGGAACACTAGCGATCTTTCGAATAATATAAAAGTGACTCAATAAAATAGGATATAATTATTTTTATTGCAATACCATTCCTCATGCAGTTTTGGCTCGGATTGCAGCACGTTTTGATGTGACAGCCTATAAAAAAGTACAAATCAATCAGATGAAAGCAGGATGAGAACAATTTAAAACATACCTGGAAACCAGATTTAATACTAGCTACAGAACACCTAGACCCACATGTTTCACATTGCAGGAAAAACAATCTTGTGTCTTTTTGAAGTATCGTATCTGGCGATCGACAAGTATGACATGTAACATATTCCTTGATATACCTGAAAAAAAAAAACAGATCGGTTCCTGTTATTTCATAATTATTACTAATATTATCATCATTATTATTATGACTTTGTGAACATGAATATGAAATTGAATTAATTTCAACTCTGTTAAAGTGAAAAAAAATTCACTATGTTCAATGGACAGTCAAGTCGGATCATTCAGATGTATGTTGATTATTGTTATTAAAAGTATTTTCCAGTATTTTTTTTTTCTGCATCTGTTGAATATGGCGCACATTCAAGATAAAAATAAACTTGTTGACTTGTTTTCACCTTCAGGGCTATAACAAGATAATTTTATGTGACTTCTTGAACTTCCTTATTTTGAATATTGGTATATAGGTTTCCTGATGAATTGTTTGTTTTGGTGAGTTTTTCCTGAAGAAAAGAACTTATCTTCGCCGTATGTTTATATCATATTTTTATCAAATGATATTTTAGCTTCTACAAGAAGAAAATGGTGTTTGATGAATAAAAACAATTTGCCATGCGATGAAGAGGTGTTCCATTGTTGAACTGAAAACAAATGTTCATTTAATTTTTCCGAAACTGGAAACAATTAGGTGAGACAAGAAGTGATTTACTTGATTCTGTAATGAAATTTTTCACGTCAAATAAACGTATAATAAAGTTGGTTTGGATGCAAATTATCAGGACCACGTATTGAAACGAAGGTTTTGAAAAACCAATTATATAAGATCTCACCTTCTCAAAACATTCTCGATTTGTTTCTGTTGGAACCTGCCCTTAATGATGAGTTGGCTGTTGCCGTCCACAGACCCGCTGGTACCCAATTCGGCCAACAGAAAGTCGAGCAGATGTTTGGGCTGACGATGCAACATTTTACAGATCTCTGTAAAGTTGGCGAACGACGTCTTCTTTGCACCGATTTTGACCACCTGCGGCGGTCTCATTATGAACTTTTGCTTTTTGCCGGCCGCCATATCTGGATTCTTGTCTCTCATTATTTCGAAGGCACGGTTGAGTAATTCGTCGTATGTGTAGTCTCTGTCGGATCCTACCCACTGCGTTGAGTTTTCATCGACTGCAGAAAATAATAGATCAAGCTCTGCATATTCAGATTTTCATCAATAATCCACAGACGAAGTTGAAAAACTTCGGGACGGTTTTTCAAATTTACTTCCTCAAAATACGACGGAAATGTCTTACACTATCATAAATCATGAGGAAGGCATCTAGAGGTTGTTTATATTTTGTGTTGAATCATCTTGTGTTAGAAATTAGAATACATTGATGTGGATTTGGTGATAAAGATAACATAAATCGGACAGAAAAATGTATGACTGAGGAGGTCGAGCAGATGCTTGGGCTGACGACGCAACCATTTACAGATCTCTGTAAAGTTGGTGAAAGACGTCTTGGCACCGATTTGACCACCTGCGGCGGTCTCATAAGGAACTTTTTCATTTTGCCGGCCGGCATGTCGGGATTCTTATCTCATTATTTCAAAAGCATGGTTGAGTAATTCGTCGTATGTGTAGTCTCTGTCGGATCCTACCCACTGCATTGAGATTTCATTGACTGCAGAGAATAATCGATCAAGCTCTGCATATTGAGATTATCATCAATAATCAACAGATGAAGTTGGAAAGCTTCTGGACGGTTTTTCAAATTTACTGCCTCAAAATACGACGGGAATGTCTTACACTATCATAAATCATTAGGAAGACATCAAGAGATTGTTTATATTTTGGGCTGAATCATCTTGTGTTAGAAATTAGAATACATTGATGTGGATTTGGAGATAAAGATAATATTCAGCATGCTTGAAATTCACTAAAAATCGGGCAAAAAAAATGTATGACTAAGGAGGTCGAGCAGATGCTTGGACTGACGACGCAACAATTTACAGATCTCTGTAAAGTTGGTGAAAGACGTCTTCTTGGCACCGATTTTGACCACCTGCGGCGGTCTCATAAGGAACTTTTTCATTTTGCCGGCCGGCATGTCGGGATTCTTATCTCATTATTTCAAAGGCATGGTTGAGTAATTCGTCGTATGTGTAGTCTCTGTCGGATCCTATCCACTGCATTGAGATTTCATTGACTGCAGAAAATAATCGATCAAGCTCTGCATATTGAGATTTTCATCAGTAATCAACAGATGAAGTTGGAAAGCTTCTGGACGGTTTTTCAAATTTACTGCCTCAAAATACGACGGGAATGTCTTACACTATCATAAATCATTAGGAGGACATCAAGAGATTGTTTATATTTTGGGTTGAATCATCTTGTGTTGGAAATTAGAATAAATTGATGTGGATTTGGAGATAAAGATAATATTCAGCATGCTTGAAATTCACTAAAAATCGGACAAAAAAATGTATGACTGAGGAGGTCGAGCAGATGCTTGGACTGACGACGCAACAATTTACAGATCTCTGTAAAGTTGGTGAAAGACGTCTTCTTGGCACCGATTTTGACCACCTGCGGCGGTCTCATAAGGAACTTTTTCATTTTGCCGGCCGGCATGTCGGGATTCTTATCTCATTATTTCAAAGGCATGGTTGAGTAATTCTTCGTATGTGTAGTCTTTGTCGGATCCTATCCACTGCATTGAGATTTCATTGACTGCAGAAAATAATCGATCAAGCTCTGCATATTGATATTTTCATCAGTAATCAACAGATGAAGTTGGAAAGCTTCTGGACGGTTTTTCAAATTTACTGCCTCAAAATACGACGGGAATGTCTTACACTATCATAAATCATTAGGAAGACATCAAGAGATTGTTTATATTTTGGGTTGAATCATCTTGTGTTAGAAATTAGAATACATTGATGTGGATTTGGAGATAAAGATAATATTCAGCATGCTTGAAATTCACTAAAAATCGGACAAAAAAAATTATGACTGAGGGGGTCGAGCAGATGCTTGGGCTAACGACGCAACAATTTACAGATCTCTATAAAGTTGGGGAACGACGTCATCTTGGCACCAATTTGACCACCTGCGGCTATCTCATAATGAACTTTGCTTTTCGTCGGCCGGCATGTCGGGATTCTTGGCTGATTATTTCAAAGGCAGGCAGAAAATAATCCATCAAGCTCTGCATATTGAGATTTTTATCAATAATCGACAGCGGAAGTTAGGAAGAATTTCGGACAGTTTTTCAATTTTACTGCCTCAATAAATGAAAGAAAAAGTTTGTTTTACACACTCATGGATCATTTAGAGACATGTCCAGAGGTTGTTTATGATTTGGGTGGAAATAATCTACTTGAATTGAAGTAGTGTTCAAGTTATTCGCCATATTTGTAGTTTGTCTTGGTTGGATCCTACCCTCTGTGTTGAGTTCTCATTGACTGCAGAAAATAATCCATCAAGCTCTCCATATTGAGATCCTCATCAATAATAGTCAGAAGATGTTGAAAAGCATTAGGGGTGAATTTTCCATTAGGGGCGGATTTTCAATTCAACTGCCGAAAAAGGTTCGCCTGGATGGATGGATGGATGAGTTTTAGTAGCTATATATCTCACTGTAGACCTCTTTTTAAAACATTATCAATTCTTCCATTACCCTGTTGCTATATAATGGAGTACCTTCTATTCATTCATAAAAATATGTTTAACAGATGGTGTTCACAATCATATACATTCATACTCAACTAGAAACAGTGATGATATCTGCATACCATTCTGTAGAATGAAGAAAACACAAAATTCATATAGATATATCAGTGCTAAGCTCTATAATGCCCTACCACACAGCTATAAAGTTTCAACTTATTCAGTATTTAAGAAACAAATACATGATATACTGATGTTACATTGTTTTTATTCAGTTGAGGAGTTTCTCCTCCACATGCCCTCCTGTACATGCAAGTTCCATGTTGATATTTGAACCATGGACTTATTCTCCTGTGTCATGTTTTACTTTACTTTTTTTCATTTTATATTATTGTAGTGCCTGTAGTTTAGATTGTAAAGTCTATCTGTGATGAGTGTAAAATTCTTGTAATTTTATATAAAATAAATTATCATCATCATTATATCATTATGGAGAATGTATCATTATGGAGAATGTGAAGAGGTTGTTTTCATTTTGGTTGGAAGCAAACTATTTGAATGTGTTGGAGTTGTGTTGGACCATCTTGTTAGAAATAAGAATTGAGTAAAGTGCAGCTTATAATACTTATTTGTGTCACATGATTTTTGTTCAGCTGTTTAATAACATGACAAGTGTGTCCACACTCTTTAAAGGGTATGAAATGATATGTTTGAGGCATTCTAGGATTAGCTACATGCTACCAAGGTCATCTAATCTTAATTTCATATCTATGTACCACTGCATCAATTTTCTAAACTGTGTAGTGGTTCAAATTCTTAGGACAATTTATATCTGGCAAATAATATACATAAAACAACAGTTATAATACCTGTTTCTGATATAGACTCCACCATAGTGCAGCATGTTGAGGAAAATTTTTACAATGAGTTGATTGGTTTTATAGGGTTTTTCAGAATAAAATTGGAAATATTCATTTCAAAAAACATATCTAGAATCATTGAAATTGTATGAGAATGTTGTTTGAAAGTTCATACTCATTGATTTTACAATTGAATTATTAAGTGTGATGAAGAATGAATGAGAAGTTATTACCATTTTCTAGATCATTTTCTTTTTCTTCAGCTTCAGCAATCAGTTCATCCAAATTCTTAGGTTTCTTGGTTTTTTTCTTCTTTTTACTTTTGTTGAAGTCCAATTCAAAGTCAAAACTGTCATCCACACCTGCATCAGGCTCCCCGCCCACATCTGCCACTGCTGCACTGATCTTGCTATCAGCAATTGCTGTTTCAGTATCCTCTGCAGAAGGTTTCTTTTTCTTCTTCTTCTTTTTTGTAAAGTCTAGGTCAATGTCAACATTTCCATCATCTAAGTCTTCATCTGGCCTGTTGTCTGTATCTGGGGCAGCATTAGGAGTTGAATCATTTTCTGTGTTGCCTTCTGCTAGGGCTGCATCAATGTCAAAAGAGGTCTTCTTCTTCTTCTTTTTCTTTTTCAAAGTTGGATCAAAAATCTGAAAATGTGTTGTTTGTTATTTCAATACCTTGTATATCATTTTGGAATATAAAAAAACAGATGACATGAAAAAGGGGTCTTTGTATGTGGGGAGGGCTTTCAAAGTTTCAATAAAGGTACAGAATAATTCACACTTGGAACTTGTGTAGCTGCTCACAGGAACTGCTATTCAAAATGAAATAAAACTATGCTCAGATATATGTGAATGTGAATAATAATAATAAGGAACTCTTATTATTTTTTGTTCACCATTTGCCATTATATCCTGCATCTATTATATACCTACTCTTGTCTTCCATGAGTAGTACTTTACCAGTATTTTATTAAGAACAATAACGGGAACTGCTATAGAAATATGATTTGGATTTGAACCACTTTGAAAATTGTATGAGCAAACCAATAGAAGAATCACATCACATATGGAGGGTACATAAAATTCATCAAATTTCAATAAATAAACTCACTGCTTCGTCTTCAGCCATTTCACAAATGAAAACCTTTGATCAACACCTTGTTAATAGACAACTTATTCAACAATTCGTAGAATGTTCATGAAATATTTTCAACAAAACGTAATGAAACCTATTGCATCAGCCAAAAATATCTAATCGAGACATCGAGTTCAGAGAAAACGGCATGCATGGATGCTGAAAATGTCACTTATCAAGTTGTCAATCTTGTCATTTCTCTTGTCAATATAAATGTCTCTCGCCAGTCGTTCCAATAATAGCTTGCTGCTGTGCTCATCAATGAACTCAATACAATATTGAGTTCATTGGTGCTCATTGGCTGTGCTGCTGTATATCTCAAGGTTTTCAGAAGGTTATAAGGTATTATTATGAGGAAGGAAAGTATCTTTTTTCCACCACTAGCTATAGGCGTAAAGTGTGTTTTTACTACCGAGGTAGTTTTCGTCATTTTATGAACCACTAGTCAATAAAGACATATAGCCACCCCTTTCATAATTAACCCGAATTCAATGTGACTGGTGTGATATTCACAGGAATGACTCTCGAATCTAGTAGGTATTTATCAATAACGACTTGTGATCACAGTGCTTGTGATATACTGTCATGGTGACAAGTATTCACAGAACTATAATGATGGAAATATAGTGCTAGCGGTGAAAAGAATTAGATATACACCTTCGTGGTTGTAAAGAATATTTTTACCACGGGACCTTACATAAAATTGGTCCCTGGGTACTAATGATATTCTTCACTACCTTGGTGTATAAATAATTATACTGCTTGGAAAAGGATCGAGCCTACCTTTAACCTTCACTCGGCCTTGATGGACCTTTTCCTGCAAAGTATATTATTCAAAAAATTGTGATAACCAAGCCAGCACACGATATTTCTTCTTTCCTTATAGATAAAACTTTCGGGTAGCTGATAGCTCAGAGAGCTGTCCAGCTGACTTTCACGGCGCTGGCTCGTGTTCAACTCCCTTGGAGGAGCCCATTTTTTTACAAGTAATTTTTCTAAAGAATATACTTTTCAGGAAAAAGGTTCATTCAGGCCAAGAGATCAAAAATGTAGTGTCATTTTTCATGTAGAAACGATATTTTCCTTCCTCATGATACCGCATAGGTGTTTACATTGAGTTTAGTGTTATAATAATGGATTTTATTTTCATTGTTCTTTTAGTCTTTTGATAACCTTGAGCGTTGATCGATATATTACGCTTACACGTAAGCGTATTATATCAATCAACGCCTTGAGAAGGCCTTGAGCTTAGATTAAGGCCTTGAGAATCTTGAGATTTTCCGCAGCAGGGCAGAAAGCTACTATGGATTTTTTGTTGCTTCCTGTCTCTAGACGTTTCTCAACTGTTCTCAACACGCAGGCGCTTCTTAGATCATTCGTGCTGTCCCATGATACTAAAATGCAAAATGCGCTGTCCTATGCAAATGCAGATGCTCGTGTGTCAAGTGTCAAGTAAAATTCGTTTTTTTGTTCGGATTTCTGATATATTTTATATTTAATTATTATAATATATTAATTTAATATTTGTATATTTATTAATTTAGATAGAGAACGTCAAACAACCTAAATTCTTTTGTTATGCTTCTGTTTGCTTAGGTAAATAGAAAATATGACCTTATTATTTAAAGTAATACAAGTCTATAGACAATCCCCACTCCTAATAATGAACCATCACAAACCATCTTGCATTGCATAGCATAAGAAACACCACACCCAAGATCTATTAACTTCTATAGAAAAGGATATATTATTTTTAACTGTGCTTTTAGTGACGTTTGTTATAGAAGTTTCTCCAAAACAAGTTTCTGATGATTTGCAATGTCTTCAGTTCTGGATGAAAGGGAAGCTTATTTGAATAGTCCTTATTTCAAGAAACACGAATACGGAGATTTCACACCCTTTTATATAGCAGTGACCATTTGTACAATATTAGGTGTATTTATATTCCTGATCAACATAGTCCTTGGTTGCTGCTCCACACATTCTCGGTATTGGAACGACAGACATACAGGTTGGTCAACCTATCTACTTACCTATTTTACCTATTCAATTTGGAAAATAATATGTTTTTCTTCTCAGGAAACCGTTGGATTGCTTCACTTTGGACTGCCACACCCCACAAGCAACCTGCTTTGGACTATACTGAATTACAGGACATCTCTACACAAACTCCACAGGTTGTCTACCACCATCCTCCACATCAACCTTCAGCACCTCCTCAACAGTATCTGGAGCTTCAAAAGAGGGAGAGTGATATTTGAATAACATTTCAATAATGTTTCACGTTTATTGGCCAGCAACTGCTTGTCTCACCCTATTCCTCATTATAGGAGTGATTATTGGAATGCTGAAATGGGGGCCTAGATTATGCCACACAAGGCATATTGCTTTACCTGACAGAATGAACTGGCAACACAGAACATATGAACAAACTATTACTAATGCTTAATACTTATTTCACTGCACACAATAATTCAGATAATGGATTGAAATTCTCAAAATCAATTGGTTACCTACAAATTCAAATGAAAGTTTTTGATTTTACAGAATTTATCTCAACTTGAGTAACCTATATTCTATTTCAGATATACCAGGTTATTCTAATTATTCCACAGGAAATATTGTGGTTGAAGAATATGATTGTTCAAAAGTGATTTCTTTAGGATGGATAGGGTCTATAGGGACCTATTAGCACTCTTTTAAGAAGATATGAAAATATTTTCAAATGTAGCACTAAAATGTGCCTATCCATAGGGAAGAAAGATCTTTTAATTGAACAATACAATTCTTTACCCACAATGTTTCCTGTCCAATAATGTGAATAATCTGGCACATATATTATTTTTATTTGAAAGGTTTCAGGAATTTACAGAAACTGATTTGCCAACTTTGTAGCTTGTCATCCATTTATTGATACAGTTCAATAATTATTTTTTTTATCTATAATCATTCAAGAAAAATTAGAAAGTGTAGTTATGGTTTAGTATTTTCTACAATCAAGATTAGAATATGTTTATGTGACCAAATTACAAAACTCTTGATATAACCAATGTGAATCTCTTTGTCCGTCCATTTTGATAAACATATGTTTTAATATTTTATTTTATTTTTTAGAATATGTTTATGTGACCAAATTACAAAACTCTTGATATAACCAATGTGAATCTCTTTGTCCATCCATTTTGATAAACATATGTTTTAATATTTTATTTTATTTTTCAGTATAATATTGACTTTTGAACATGGTTTTTGTATCAGTATTTTTTATTAAATAAATTTTATAATGTAAAATGTGGAAGTGGCTAACTAACTATATTAATCAATTTACACTCAAATTGTTGAGTTCACTGGGGTCAAAAGATCCTAATTTATAATGAATTTCAAAACCCACACAAAAAACATTTGAAATATGTGAATTACATTTCATATTGTGTCATTGGCTGTAAAAGTGTATGGGAATTGGGGTTGGAGACAATAGCTACCAGTGAATCTTGGGATGATTCGCCGCTGATGCCGAGCACATGCCAAGTTTAAAACTTATTAATTAACAATTCATGAGTGGAGTTTCATATTTGGGGAAATGATGCAAAATAGTATTTTAAATCATTAGCCACTTGAGTAGGCTTGTTGTGATATCTCTAGAGATACACCAATAGGGGTAATGTACAGGCTGTCCCATTTTCGATGTCCTTACGGGATATCTCGCTTAATTTTGAAGATAGAAAGTTGCGGTTTTCGCGAACGTTGGCTACTTTTTTGTGAAACTCACGAAACCGTGAACAAAATTTCCATAGCCCGCTTCGTTCCTGAGATACAGGGTGAAATTGAAAATATTGCATTTTGAGACCCCCTTTGTATCTCAGCTATCTTTCAACTTAGAGGAAAAGTAAGAACTGTTTCTTTCACAATTTTTCACGTAGAATCCAGTGGCGTAGTCAGATTTTTCAAATGAGCTGTCGTTATTTAGATATAACCCAAAGTTATGTTTTTTTAAATAGAACACCCTGTATGTTTATCAATATTTGAAACAAGAAAGCTTTGCGCTTTTCAAAAATATATAACACTTATATGATATTTTGAGTATTAGTCCTGTATTTGGGTCATTTTCAGTTTTTTATGTAGGTTTTTTATCAATGGGCCTTGTAAAAATGTGGCAACATTATCCACTTCACAAATTTTCATATTTCCCTTATTGCTGACACAGTGTTTCGTCACACCAAGTCACACACTCACCACATTTACCAATATTCAGTACTATTAATTGCCTATGAAAGCTGTGGACTTAATTAGTAGGTAGCTATGAAAAAAAAACACAAATGCAGATTGTTTACAATTCTTGTCACCTACCTGTCAAAGTTTACAAATTTTTCATACAATGGCGAATAATAATCCAGGATATCAAAACTACGAGAAATTAGATATGGTTGGAATATATTACCAAGTTGGCTTCAATGCAAATCAAGCGAAGGACCTATATTTTGAAAGGTATTTACTATCTCCCAATTGCTGGGTATCAGTTAGTTACAATATGATAAAAAATTTAGGTATCCCGAGAGGAGACAACCAAGTAGGAAAATATTTGGCAGACTGAAAGAAAATTTGGAAAATTTTGGATCTTTTGACAAGCCTAGACCGAAAAGTTATAGGAAAGAAAATGCCGAAAACGATGAAATTAGTGTCCTTGCAAAGGTAGAAGAAAGCAATAATTATACTTCTTGCAGAGAAATTGAAGAATCATTTGGCATTCCAAAGACAAGGGTGTCCAAGATATTGAAAAAGAACAAATATACCCCCTATATACCACAAACTATTCATTATTTGTACCCGGGTGATGCTGTGAAGCGCTTTGAGTTTTGTAGATGGTATATCCGAAAGACGGAAGAAAATATAAATTTTGGGCGTTCAGTAGTATGGTCCGATGAAAGCCATATAAGTAGCGCTGGAATATTTAATCGAAATAATCATCGTTATTGGTCAAATGAAAATCATCACGTTACGGTGGTTCGCCAACAGCAAGGCAGATTCGGCTTTAATGTATCTTGTTTCGTTTATGGAGGAAGACTTGCCTATCGAATTTTTGACGGTAACTTGAATCACCAAAGATATTTGGAAATTTTAGATGATTGTCTTTCTGAACTACTTGACGAAATTCCGTTGGCTCAATTTGGACACAGTTTCTTCCAACAAGATGGCGCACCTTGTCATAACGCAGGTGCCATCAGGGTTTATCTTGATGAAAGATTTCAAAATCAGTGGATTGGTAATAATGGTCCCATTCACTGGCCGCCAAGGTCCCCTGACTTATCGATATTAAATTTCTTCTTATGGGGCTATATAAAAAATAAAATATATCACACGCGGCATGAAGATCGAGATTCACTGATGAATGCTACGAGAGAAGCTTTCGAATATTTACGTATGAGACCTATATTTTTACTCCGGTCGATTGACGCTATCCTCAGAAGATGTCGGCTGTGTCTTCAACAGAATGGGCAGCAATTTGAACAATATCCATAAGACATTTTCAACAGGAGAAAAATTAATAGAATTGTTTTGTAGTAGTGTTTGAATTTATTGTTTTATCAAATTGTTTTATGTTTTATCAAATTGTTTTTATCAATTTGTTAATTAAACTTCTCATTCTACCCTATATAAATGAGTGGTATTTAATTATTGCGCCAGAATATCTATTCTAAGAGTAGAAGTTATTTGTCTTGATATGCCATAAAAAACTGAAAATTACCCAAATACAGGACTAATACTCAAAATATCATATAAGTGTTATATATTTTTGAAAAGCGCAAATCTTTCTTGTTTCAAATATTGAAAAATATACAGGGTTATTTCCATTTAAAAAAACATAACTTTGGGTTATATCTAAATAACGACAGCTCATTTAAAAAATCTGACTACGCCACTGGATTCTACGTGAAAAATTGTGAAAGAAACAGTTCTTACTTTTCCTCTAAGTTGAAAGATGGCTGAGAAACGGGGGGGGTCCCAAAATGAAATATTTTCAATTTCGCCCTGTATCTCAGTAACGAAGCGGGCTATGGAAATTTTGTTCACGGTTTCGTGAGTTTCACAAAAAAGTAGCCAACGTTCGCGAAAACCGCAAATCTCTATCTTCAAAATTAAGCGAGATATCCCGTAAGGACATCGAAAATGGGACAGCCTGTACTTACATAGTAGTTCTGGATAGTTCAATACAAAACCATACTACCATATATCTTCAATGTTCAAGGAATTAGTTTTTTGGGAACAAATTTCAAATAATTCTTTGAAGTTTCTTCATGCTTAATTTATGATGCCTGAAATTTCACCAAAAGTGAAGGATCTGCAAAAATGAACTTAATATTGGTGCAAAAGTTAGTGCTGATGATGGAACTCCTATGATTAGTTGTGACGACGATGAACGTGAAATTTTGTTTTTTATTTGAAAAATTCCATCAAAATATATATGAGTACTAGGGGTCCTATAATATCATCTTAATATTGTTTATTTTTGTTGGAATCAGATCACTGAATATAATGTTCTATGAAGATTTTCTCATGACTAAGTAGATCACTTGTAATATATGGGGTGTTCAAGATATAAGGACATACGACATCATGGGGTGACGTTCATGATGGTTTCTCCGAAACAAACCATGGTACAGAAAATCTCTCAATGCTGTATTGTAGATCTCAAAAAGTGGCAATGAAAAATTGTCTTGTTTTCCTATATCTCTTCAAATAACTTGAGAAAAAAACGATCACCAAACCCTGAGAAAATAATACATTTTATTTTTCATTTATTAAATATTACATTAATTTTGTTATACTCACTATGAATAATTGTGAAACATTTATAATTGATAAAAATAAATCACAACAAACTGTAATTTGTATACCTAAGTATAATAGAAGTTTAACAGCAACACAGTCATAACAAATGATTAGATTATTGTCACCTTGATTTTCATCAATTATCTCTTCTATATCTTCTTTTTCCAGAACACTTTCTTCATTACACTATAAAATGAATAAGACAATTATAGGATAATTTCATGAATAGTATAGGTGTAACTAGATCAATGAACTCATGGTGTTTATATTGAGTTCATTGACCTAGATAGGATACCAAGTTTAGCAACAGAGCAAGACTTCTGGATTGAAAAGTGAAGGAGAAAAAGTATAGTATGCAATGTAATTAGAACTATTAGAAGTTTTCTTGAGAACCTTATTTCTTCCGACGTGGTCAAAAGTTGGCCGCCGTCTGTCATTCCAGCAAAGATCTTATAAGCCTACTAGACTACATTCAAACATTCCCCCTTATACCACTCGTTCTACAAGAATTTGAAGCCCAGTATACAACTTCAAATAATGTTGCACAACAGGTATTGGTCCACGATACTGCGAAGAACGCAGTTGAAGAAAAGAGTATATGGTGCTGGAATCAGATTATAAATCTTAATCAATACCTAGGTTATTAATCTATGTTTCATTGTCATGAAGTTCATGATTTTATCTAATTATTGAATCAACTCTATAATGGGTGCTCTGTTTTTTTTTGTGATCTTAGAAAACAATCAATATGTCAATTTGGGATCGAGTACATTTTTGCAAAATAAACAATATCTGAAAAAAGTTCACAAAATATTTGCCAATATTACAGAAACTATAAAAAATTTGTATTTATATATTACCTGGAAATTTTAAGCACAAATAAACTTTTGACCACAGGAAATAGATGACGCAACCTACCGTCCTTTTCGATTTCTGCTAAATGAATATCCCGTCAGACGGTCTAGATATTTAGCCGTCATTGGGATTCGGAAGCTGACATCAGTTTCAGCAATGGAAAATTAAATACAGAATATGCACTCAGTGCAAGCCAGTTTTACCAATGGAATTCGCTTTATTTGTTCTTCTCATTTGCTTCTCATCATACCAAATTGAGAGTACCCAAGGTTGTAGCCATCTTACCACTATATTTATAGATGACATTGACAGTAGTTGCTGCCAACAGCCAACAAATAGCACAAAATGTTTGACGTCTGATATGGTAAAAATAAATCACTTCCATAAAAATTTGAAAAATATAATTGAAACCCAGTAGGTACATCGCACACCTCTACAAATTGTTCATGAGGAAATTATAGCTGAAAATATTCTCATGCCTCCACATACAAGAGCATTTTTTGCACATTTTGGTTGGAGCAATCTAATGAGCATTTCAGAGCTTGCCAACTTGGCTTCTCTAGATTGTATACATAACAGGATTATGAAAAATGAGACAAATACCAAGAATGGTACATTAGTTAATTTCATCAGTGAGTCCATAATTCACTATCATCAAGTCTTACAAGAGTAAACACATTATTCATCAACATAAAATTATTGTAATACAATGATTTAGGTGGGAATCCAGAATCCAGTTCAGTTAGATCTCTACCTCCTTTTATGAAGTCATGCCAAAAAGACAGTATACTTTCTCAACATTATCATGGACTGGGCACAATTTCTACATATTATTAAATATAACAACTCATATTTGAGTTAATCATCAGTATTCTTGAATAAGCATTGATTCTGATGGCACCACATAGTATTTACTAATAGTTCTCCCATTTCTTGTGCACTTCTGGTTTCATGTCCAGTATTTGTACATGTACAGCTTGGAATTTTTCAAACTTTGGGGGTACAGGACATAGCTGATACTTCACCCGATCTCCAGGAAGAGGAACATATTCATCTTCAACACTAAAATAATGGATTGTCTATTAATTGAAATTCAAATAGATATCAAACATAAATCACCAGTTATTATCAAATCATAATTTATGTTTCTACCTTTATATAAAAGCTATTCTGGTAAAATGAAGGGGAAATGAACTTACTCAGATACATGAAGAAACACTGGGCCACATCCTTCTTGTCCTTCATCAGGTGTGATAAATCCATGACCCTTTTCTCTACAAAACTCTTTGATAATTCCATACAATGTTTTTGATTTCACTATTCGTTCACACCTGTAATTGGAAATTGGCATAAGAATTAAAAAGATTTGTTATGCTTCAACTTACACTGATGGTGTCCTATTTCGCTTTGTGACTAGTGGACTAGGAATTAGATAAGCCCTTGGTGGTGTAGCATCTCCTGACATTTTTGATAATAGAATATGTCTCAGTCTTTCTCTATTCAGGTAATACCTACCTCAACTTCAAATTTTCTACTTTGATTTCAATAAACCACCTGATGACCAAATAACAAAACTATTTTGCCAAAATGAAAGCTGTGTAAACAAACAAACAACACGTCAACTGGGTCTTCAAAATATAATAGGAATAGGTGAACTTTGTTGAATTCAGATCTGCTGATGGAATATGGAATATATGGAATGATTATTGAAAATTTATTTTCCAATTTCAGCCCAGTAAGCCCATAAAATCTATGCCCATAAACATTGAACAAATTAATAGGTCTGTTTGAATTGTTCGAATCGAAAACCCTAAAATTAATGTAGTGTACTAGTGTGGTGTAGTGAAAGAAGTGCAGTGTAGAGGGAGTGTAAAAAGTGTGGAAGTGTAATAGCCACAGCACCAATGACGGCTAAATATCTAAACTGTCTGACGGGTCATACCGTCACAGTTTAGACGGCTAAATATCTAAACTGTCTGACGGTATCTAGATATTTAGCCGTCATTGACAGCACTATAACCGAGAGTAGAATGGTTTATATTAGTAGGTATGTAGATCATATCTAGTCTTCATCATCTACATAAATAATGGTGATTTCTTCTACTGATTTATCTGCATCTCCTATGGCATGGCCTGTTATTGTATGTTGTATTTTCACTTCTTAATGATGATGAATTTGTCTCTGGTGAACCTCATTCACCGCGAAAAGTATACTCAGTTCAAATTATATTATGTCAAAAGCTCACATGGGAAATTGTTAGTTATAATATTTTCGAATATTTTTTTCCAATTTTTCAAGAAAAAGTTCCGACATGTCACAGTTTTGATTCATCATATTCGACAATTTTTAGAGATGTCACGGCTGGAAAGCAGCAATTTTCTGAGATGTTACATCTCAAAAAATTGCCGTAAATAACATCATGTATTATAGGTATTTTTATTCATTTGTAGACCCAATTATATTCATGACTGGATTTACCTATTGAAGATGTGCTCTGAGTTCCTATCATTTCAGCAAAATCCAAATCGTGCCCTTCGGTTGTTGAACATTCCTCTTTTGGCAGTTTTTTTATTTTCCTCAGTTTCTAAATAGAAACAAACGGGTATTTGCAAAAGACAAATTTTGAGTTGAAAAGCAATAGGTCCATTGAAAATTCGCATAAAGTTGAAATGCCATAGTTTGGGAAGAGAAGTGACTAAGTAATATATAGGCGCGAAGAATAAGGTATAGGAAAATTTTCTGAAAGAAGGAAATACCTATAATGAATGGAATTCAAATTTTAATCTATTCTTGGAAATTACTTCAAACACATTTTTCCGAATGTTTGATCCGAAGGAATTATAATATATTTTTCAAAATTGGAATTTTAGGTGGAACTTGATATTTCACGCGAAGAGAAATATTTAAATTACATACATTCGAAAGTTTCATTCTAGTTTCGTATTTCTCCATTTTATTTATAAGGGCTATCTTCTTGTTGTTTTATTTCAATCTTTCTTCAAAAGCTCGTATTACCTACACCATTTCATTGAGTGCAATGCATGCAATAATGTGACAAATCGAAATATTCCATATTGTTAACATTACAACTCAAAAATTTCAAAACATAGAAGTGGATGCAATCTTGTAAAAATAAGAACCAAGTGATCAAACTCGTAAAGATACACTGTTTTCAGAAAAACCGAATAACCAAATCCAACTCCAACTTAATACTGTGACTGTAGCTCGAAGGGGGTGCATTTTAGGCCACATCATTATATGAAGAAGAAGTTTTACCCCAACAACACATACCCAAGATATTCACATCAAATTTTGAATCACCCTGTATAATGAATATGTAGTTTTTTCTCATTTCCTCCATCTCCCCAAAACTATAGCTTGATCATTTTTCAATAACATTTTTCTTTATTTTGTTATTATTGGTACCAAATGATGCACACATTTATTGAAACCAACGTAACTTAGGTATTACTTTTTTCCCTAAATATTATTAGATAATGGACCTACACCCTCCTCCCAGGGATGAATCTTTATTACGCCACTATACATTAGTAGAGGTTTTCAGGTTAGCAACTTGAAGCGAAGTCCCCCCATTGATTCAAACATACTGTGAAGATTAGGTACCTATTCAGTTGATAACAGAAATTGAAATTATTATTATGATAATAATGTGTTTATAATTGTCTCTTGAAGATCGAGCACACAATTGATATATAACAATAACGAATGCAATAATAGTTGTAGATAAATAGGTATATTTAATTCAATGGCAATATCACAATATCATAATTAACTTAAAGGAACAAATATATTGAATAGGTACTCATACATTCATTTTTTCGGCGGTTTCGAAAGAAGCGTTGCTCCTACCCTTGATGAAATCTTCTGCCTCACTGAGGTCTTATTCGAATTAATTGCTGAGGATAAATTCGTTGTGGATGTGGTCGTAGCTTTAATTGTGGGAGATTTTCCAATGGAGACGTTGGGATTTTTTTCCTGAATAATGTTATGAATTTCAAATTATAATAATATATATACGAGATCGATATTGAATTAAAGAAGAGTTACTATTTTACCTCCTGATTCGACTTCAAATTTGTGTCCACTTTCTTGTTTTTCGCCTGACTCACTGACTTTATTGATGTTGATTTTCTAGTGATAATATTTTTAGCAGTCTGCATTAATTTTGGCATCGTTTTTGCAGGACCATTATCCACCTCAAAAAGCATTAAGTTGAATCATACATAAAGTAGTTGTGCAGTGACGTAATTAAGGGAGGGCAGGGTCCATGGGGTTTGGACCCCCCCAGAGCTGTCTGAAAAACCGAAACAATCTGGTAAACAATTCCAATAATGAAAAAATAGACATGGGTATAGAAATATCACGAGGAATTTGATTTCTAATTTGTTAGAACCTCCGAACGAATATCAGAGATTATAGTTATTGTCATTGGAAATAAGATTTTTTCTTCTTATATACATGTACCCTTTTATTGGCCCAAATTGTATGTTCCAAAAGAGAATCTGACTTTAAAAAGCATGATTTTGTGGGCCATAAAAAAATTAGGAAATCAGTACCTTACATTACAACTAACCGTTTTCCAAAAAAACTTAATCAACGATCAAGGGGTCACGACATCGTTTTCGAACGAAATGGGTTAAACACTTGCATACGGAGGTGATCGCATGTCGGAACGCATTTGAGACTGCTATTTCAGAGGCGTGCGGTACTGCAATACTTGCATCCGTCATAATTTCAAATAATCTTTTGTTTTTTACCCAATTTACAGTGATTGTAGCTCGAAGGGGATGCATTTTTGGCACTTATCATATAATGAAGAAGTTTTTACTTGATCCCAACAATATTATATTTACATCGAATTTTGAATCACCCTGTATATTGAATAGGTAGTTTCTTTCTTATTTTCACTATCTCCCCGAAACTAGTCGCTTGATTCCAACAGAAAAAAAAATGCAACAGTTGGAATTTTTCTTCTATTCAGTTACTGAATTAGTCGAATTTTTAATTTTCCTTATTTTTGTTCCCATTCCAATGTTTGTACCTGTTGATATGTGATAATATCTGATTATTTTTCAATACTATTTCTTTCTTTTGTTATCCAAATGATGGACCCATTTATTGAAACCGACACAAGTTACCTATACATATTAATTTTTTCCTTAAATATTGAATATTGGACTTAGACCCCCTCCCCCCAGGGATGAATCTTAATTACGCCACTGTAGTTGTGTATGAATTGGAAATAGATACCTTCAAATTGGAAGTGGATTTTCGCAATGTACTTGTGATGGTTTGTTTTGGGAACACAGTGTGCCTGCCAGTATCACTAATGGACCGTTTCAACTGAAAATTATAAAATGAAAAATTACAAGAAGGTTCTCACATTCCGAAATGGGTATCTGATATTGAAATGAGAACGCCTAAAACTCGGCCTAAAATGAACCAAAATGATGAAACCACTGAGGTGAACCCACTAAAGACAAATGCTGATGTGTAATCGCCTGTTATATAGGTACTTACTGCCACGGGTTCTATGACTTCTATGCTATTTGTCTCAGTGGATGCTTGATTTATTCTGAGATTCTCACTTGATGAACAAGCCTGAAAATATTATATAGTATCATTTTTATACCCATTAAACAGGGTATTGCACGACGAGCTTACACCACTATCTCTGTATCGAGAAACAGTCAAGAAAAATCCATGAAAATATGCACGCTATGTTAGAATACGCCACCTCTATTTAAAATATTTTCAGCAATGCAGTGTTGCCGCTTCTATCAAAAAGTAGCAACAACTTTGTTATTTTATATAGAATACCCTGTATTTTATTGCATTTATCCCTGAAGAGCTGATTTCATCGATACATCACACTTGGGGTCTATCGGAAATGATTACAGAGATATAGGGTGTTCAAATTCGAGATTTCTCAACTTTATGATTTGTTTGTGTCGAAACTATTTATTATCGACCAAAACGGCTCACATGTCCCTATCTCAACTTTTGATTCACTATTTACTAATATTTAATCGGAACAGATACAGGGTTATCAGAATTCTGAATCTTGAACCACCCTGCTCTGTATCTGTTACGATTAAATATCAGTAAATAGTGAATCAAAAGTTGAGATTGGGACATGTGAGCCGTTTTGACCGATAATGAATAGTTTCAACACAAAAAAATCCTAAAGTTGGGAAATCTCGACTTTGAACACCCTATATCTCTGCAATATTTGTCAATATACCTCAAGTGTGATATATCGATAAAACCAGCTCTTCAGGAAACATTTGAAAAGCGATGAAATACTGGGTGTTTTATTTGAAATATCAACGTTGCTACTAGTTTCTAGTAGAAGCGGCAACACTGCATTGTTGAACATATTTTAAATGAAGAGAGCGTATTCTAAAATATAAGCACGAACATTTTCATGGATTTTTGCCGACTGATTCTCGATATAAAGATAGTGTAATTAAGCTCGTCGTGACATAACGCTGTATATAGAGTTGAAGGTGGTTGAAGTGACACTTTTCTGGCGTATTTGTAAGATTGACCGACAATAAACGCGGAGCTTGTTCTAACATTTCGTAGGATCCAAAAAAGTTCGCTCACTTAATTTCAGATGAAAGTGATGAAACATCCAAGATTGGGATAATAAAACACTCTGATAAGTGTTCAGTGAATACATTAGGTAAAGGCTTAGATCAGGAGAAAAATAACCTCGAAAATAACCTTGATAAAAGGTCGCTTGCAAACTTATTGTCTATAAAA